CTAGCAACATTTATTTTAGAATTTAAAAATGTCTTCAATCAGCTTATACAACAGAACACCGTTATAATAAATATGTTATCCACGTTAATCAATAACACAAACAATGGCAAAAATAATTAAAATTGCTGAATGGAATGCCAACGGTTTATTACCTCACAAAAACGAATTAGAATGTTTTTTAAAATTAAACTTAATAGATATTTTATTAGTCTCAGAATCACACTTCACTGAAAAAAACTACTTCAAAATTTATAACTACACTACTTTTAACTCAAATCACCCAAGTGGCAGGGCTCGCGGCGGTTCGGCTATATTAATCAAAAATAATATAAAGCATTTTGTTCTACCTAGTATTTGTGATGATTTTCTTCAAGCAACTCAAATTTCTGTTGAAACGAACTTATATAATTTTTGTGTTTCTGCTGTTTATTGTCCACCAAGATTCAAAATTTCTTGTGCTCAGTTTTCTTCATTTTTCTCTCAATTAGGTAATAAATTTATCATTGGTGGTGACTTCAATTGTAAACATATTGCCTGGGGTTCTAGACTGACTACAGCCAAAGGTAAGATACTTCATGCAGCCATCGGGCAAAATAACCTCTCCTTTATTTCAACCTGCAGTCCAACATATTGGCCTTCTGACCCTACTAAAGTTCCAGACCTTTTAGATTTTTTTATTGTAAAAGGTATCGATCATTCAAATCTTAATATTGAATCTAGTTACGATCTCTCTTCAGATCATTCTCCAATACTTGTGACGTTTAGCACATTTCCTACTCCAGCTATCAACAATCATATTTTACACAACAAACTTTCTAACTGGACTCAATTTAAATCCATACTTGATTCAAAATTATTTCCAAAATCTAGGCCTACAAGCGCAATTGATATAGAGAATAAAATAGAATATTTTTCTGAGATTGTACGTGAAACAACCAAGCAGATAACCCCGAATATTATTCCAAGAAATGATAATCTAATAATTCCGCAAGAGATTAAGAAGCTAATTGCACAGAAACGAAGAGCAAGACGTACCTGGCAACATTCTCATCTACCTACGGATGAGACATCTCTTAATCATCTCAATAACACGCTGAGGAAAAAAATGTAAGAATGGAAGAATTGTACATTCAGGTCGTATTTATTGCAGCTAAATAGGTACGATAATTCCATATGGAAACCAATCAAGAACAAAAGTAAACCCTTACTACAAAACCCTCCTCTGAAAATAACTAACCAAAACGGTTTCATTTGGGCAAAAAGCAACGAAGAAAAAGCGGAGGCATTTGCTGATCATCTAAGTAGCATTTTTAGCGCTCGAAATATTTCCCAGAATAATTTAATTAACAATTTCGTAAAACAACCCATTCATTCTACACCGTTAGGACATTTTTCACCAAATGATGTCTTATGTGAAATTAAAAGGATGAAAAATAGATCTTCGCCGGGTATGGACAAGATTACTCCAAAAATGTTAAAAGAATTGCCTACAAAAGGTATTTTATATATAACGAATATTTTCAACGCCATTCTTCAATATAATTATTGGCCCACAGCGTGGAAGACTGCAGAAATTATTATGATCGCTAAACCAAACAAAAACCATCACACTGCTAGTTCATCAGTCTTTTATCGATATTATCGAAAATTTTAGAGAGACTTTTGTTGCAGAAATTGTCAGTAGATCATCCGAATGATAGTTGGATTCCTCACCACCAGTTTGGCTTCAGAAAAAATCACTCTACAATTCAACAATGCAACAGAACGGTGTCTCGTATTCTTGAAGCCATGAATAGAAAGGAACACAGCGTAGCCGTATTCTTAGATGTCAGCCAGGCTTTCGATAAGGTTTGGCACTCAGGACTCCTATATAAAATCAAAACAACTTTTCCAAACTACTTCAATATCTTAAGCTCATATTTGCTTAATAGAAAATTTAGAATCAAAATTAAAGATGTGACTTCGAGCATCAGAAATATAGAATGCGGGGTACCACAGGGCAGTGTGCTAAGCCCTGCACTTTATCTTCTTTTCACAAACGATATGCCCACAGATGATCTTCTAACCATATGCACTTACGCCGATGACATAGCAATTATTTCATGCAATTCCGATATTAGAACAGCAACTTGTCAGTTACAAAATTATTTATCTAGTCTCGAAAAATGGTTTTTAGAATGGAATATCAAAATCAATATCGAAAAATCTCAGCACATAATTGTTTCTCTAAAACATCACAACAGTCCACCTATCATCATGAACAATTCAATAATTCCACTATGCAATTCTGTTAAATATTTAGGCATGCACATTGATTCGAAATTGACATGGAGAACGCACATTGAATATAAAAAGAAACAAATCCAACTGAAAATAAAAGATTTTTACTGGCTTTTTGGGAGGAAATCTGAAATCTCTCTCGATAACAAGGTACTTTTGTATAAAACTATCATAGTGCCCATTTGGACTTATGGAATCGAACTATGGGGTTGCTCATGCAAATCTAACATAAACATCATTCAAAGGTGCCAGAATAAAATTCTGCGTATCCTTACTAATGCGCCTTGGTATATTTCGAATTTTTGCCTACATAAGGATTTGAAAATCTCAACAGTCAACGAAATGATCAAGATTAGAAGTTCATCTTTCAACAACAAATTAATCCAGCATACAAATCCTACAATTCAAGCGATTCAGAGACCGATAAGAAGATTGAGCAAGAAATGGCCTTCCGATCTACCAAACACCTAGCCCAATGTCTGCACGCGTCCTGGCGTAGTACGCGGCATACATCATCACGTCATCGTTCATTTATGTTATTATTTTTGTATTACTGTTTTAATTTAATTTTTATTTTAACTTTTTTCATTTTATATTCAATGTATTGCATTTTTTTTTGTATTTTTTTTTGCTCATATCAATTTTGTAAATAAGACATTAAAGTCTTGATTAACAAAAATAAATAGTAACAAAAAAAAAAAAAAACTGTTTTTGGCACTTTTTGCCCCGTATCTTTGGAACGGCTAGAGCTGCCTCCGCCAAAAACTAATCAGCACGTCTCCTTATCAGTACGAATCGAATGTTTTTTTAACTTCCCGCAGGGTAAGATAGTAATCGCAAAAAAAAATCCAAAATGAAATTTTTATATATCTTTACGTTTCAGAGGTTTCTGAATATTTTGGCATACCTTAGAGAAAATGGATGCATGTGTGTGTGTGTATGTGTGTGCGGATATAAAAACGGTTACTCAGTTTTTAAGAGAACGGAGCGTCCGATTTGAATAATTCAAAAAACATTTTACTTGCATTAACAAGATAAACTGATCAAATTTTCATGAAGGCAGGTCTAGCGGTTTCGGAGATCTAGTGAAAAAAGTAAAAAAAATGCCACCTGGCGGTCAAAAATGTTCATTAGACATATGCACATCAAATTATCAGATATTTTATAGACATTTTTAAAAAAGGTATACATTTTGTTCACATTCCTATGGGTTCCGTACCAATGCTTATCCGTTAGACGGCGGCGCGGCGCTTCGATATTTTGTCTCTATGCAGTTAAAGCAGTACGATTGCTTTGAAAAAAAGTTCAGAATTTCCAAAATATTTCAAAATACACTTTTCTTCAAAAAGTCTTTTTCAAAAAAAGTAAATTTTTGTCAAAAATTTATAGTTTCTCAAAAATCGAATTTTTCAGAGTAATTTTTTTTCAAAAATATTAATCTTTAAAAAAAAATAATTTTTGGTACGGAAAGTTCCAGCAATTTGTCTTAAGGCACGATGCCATGCGCTCCACTAGTTAATTATTTAAATCGGTTGATCGGTGTTCCCGAAATCGTCGACGAAAATTTGTATCCGCACACACACACGCACACAAACACGCACGCACACACACATATACAGCAATTTTTTCTAAGGTATGCCAAAATATTCAGAAATCTTTGAAAGGTAAAGATATATAAAAATTTTCATTTTCGATTTTTTTTGCGATTACTATACCTCATCCTACGGGAAGGTAATTATACATTTTTAGGTCGTACTAATGTTCACGGGTGTAACTTTTTGTTACCAAAACAAAACACCAACAGAATTTGTATCCGCATACACACACATATATCCATTTTTTCTAAGGTATGCCAAAATATTCAGAAACCTTTGAAACGTAAAGGTATATAATAATTTTCATATTCGATTTTTTTTGCGATTACTATAACTTATCCTACGGGAAGTTAATTATAAATTTTTAGGTCTTACTAATGTTCACGGGTGTAACTTTTTATTACCAAAACAAAACACTAACAGACTAGAAAGATTTCTGCCACTGACCAAAGAATGATACTGTGCTCATGAGACCACTGTGATGTCGCCGGCTTTTGAACGCTAATTCGCGCACGACACCACTGTGGTGTCGCCGAACGGCATAGTGTTAATAAATAAATATATTAATTTGTTATTGATTTATAAGTGTGCCGAGTTCGTTAGGACTATAATGTTTTAGTATGTTCATTAAGAGCAGAGAGTCGCAGAATTTTTATGTAATAAACAATTACAAAGAAACAGTTTGGCTGATCTTTGTCCATAACTAATCAGTCCGATTTCCAAATAACATATTTCAAATATTATATACATTTTCAAAATCTGATCAGAATTTTTAGCTAAAACGCGGCCAAAAATTTTTGCACTTTTTTGTTAAACTAACCAACGCGAGTTCTTACCAAGATTCATTGAATGGCTTTCAAATTTTTGAAATCGGCGTTTTTAATAAAACGTCGACGAAAGGTCAAAAATCGGCTCACGTACATACATCGATCTCATTCGATTCACAATGACTTGAAAACTCAAAAAACATAAAATTAGCAAATTTTGTCGCAAAAACATAAACTTCTCTTTTGCAAAGTTAATTATAAGTACACAAGTGAAAATGCCATCATGTATATACACTTGCATATATGTATGAGGTGTTAAAATACCACATTTTAAGTTTTTGAATTTTAATATACGGACCTGGCCCTGTCGCAGCCTGCCAACGAGCCTAGAGCAGCGCTCGGGTTCGGAGCGACCGTCAAAGCTGTCCAGTTCGCTGGACACCGCTGATAAGGAACGGTCTGCATGGAAAAACCGTGCCAAGAGCGATCGGTCACCGGCCTGTAAAGAACAAATAATAAATTACGCATTTTTGAAAATCAGAGAACACTTTAGATAAAATTTTGTTCAGATAGAATTAACAACCATGTGAATTCTTCGTAATTTAAAAATGAAAGTAAGCAAGGAGAGCCTTTTCACTATTACTCATATTACTCATATTTTTATTCTAATGTAATTTACGGCATTCAATTTTGGGGGTTTTCACCGTTACTAACATCAGTTTTTCAATTACAGAAAAAAGCAATCAGAGTTATGTTTTCCCTTTCGTCCACTACATCTTGTCGACCCTTTTTCCATGAGCACAAGATTCTGCCTGTTCCATGCATTTTTCTCCTAATCACCCTCTGTTTTATAAAAAATAATGGTAACCTGTTTAATTTAAGCCCAAATCCCGAATGTATTTATTATGACACAAGACATAAACTTGTAAAAGGTCCCACATTGAAATTTGCCTCTACATTTAATACCTTAGATGGTCTGGGCATAATGCTTTACAATAAGCTGCCACTAGGTATTAGAGAAGTTGAAAATAGGAAATTTTATAAACTACTCAACACATTTTTTAAAGAGCAAGTTTTTTACTCTATTGATGAGTATTTAAATTATAATTTTCAGTAAACTATTCTGTGAAAATTAGAATAAGATTTTAAGTGAACATTTGTTTTTTGTAAATTATATCTCATTTAATATAGTATGTTATCTATTAATTTAAGTTATGTACCATTGATATCTACAATTGTACAATTGTGCTGTATAAATAAATAAATAAATAAATAAATAAATAAATAAAATTATCAATAAACTAGTGGTGAAACTGAATTGCATTTTCTTGCACTTATTGCTTCGTATCTCCGAAACGACTGGACCTGACTTTGCCAAAAACCAATCAGCACGTCCCCCGAACAATAGAAATCGATTGTTTTTGAATCACCCAAATCGGTTGATTTGAGCGTCCGAAACATTGCACTTTTACGGACGGAGTGAAAAATTGATTAAATTTTTGGAAAAGCAAATCCAGTGGTTTCGGAGATTGGATGAAAAAAATTAAAAAAAAAAGCCAATCGGCGGTCAAAAATGATCATTAGACATGTGCACATTAAATTATCAGTTATTTAATAGAGATTGTAATTATCTGTAAAAATTTAGTTTACATTTCAATGCGTTCCGTACCAAGACTAATATATAAAATTCACTTATATAATTCAAACAAATGTGCTGATAAATGACATTTACAACAGTACGAATCAACCTACCATTATTGTGTTTCAAAAGTTTTGAAACAGTCGAATTTTATCGAATATTTAAAAAAATTGCAAAATTTTTAAAGAAGAAATTAAAAATTTACAAAGACATCGAATTTCTTCAATAAATATTAAATTTAAAAAATATTTTTTTTTTGCCAATACCACTTTGGTGCGAGCGGTAGGTTTACTTGACGGCCGCGAATGGCTCCACACAGCCGAGCGTCACCATTACGTGACGGACGTGATACGGCCAAGGGTCTTTTCTTAAATACTACAAAGTGTCACCACAGGGTCTGTCTATGAACAAGTCCGTATACGGATGATGCCTGCCGGCTATGAAATATCTGGTTGTCAAATATCTCCCTTCCGCCTTTTTGTATTATAAACCAAGAGCAAAAAAGCGGAAGGGAGATATTTGACAACCTAATAATTTGATGTGCATATGTCTAACATTTTCAATCGCCAAACGGACTCTTTTTTAACTTCCCGTAGGGTAAGTTATTGTAATGGGCCGAAAATCGAAATTGAAAAATTTTACATTTCTCGACGTTTTGAAGGTTTCTGAACATTTTGGCATACCTCAGAAAAAATGGATGTGTTTGTGTGTTATGGATACAAAGGGTATGGGCGTGTTTCCATACAGAATTGGCCCCACCCTGGTATTTAAATTATTTTGATGCCATTTTATAGGTAATCTCGAGAAAATTTGATATACCAAATTTCAAATCCGTAGCTCATCATTTGGCCGAGATATCAGTGAAAACATGTGAAAGTGGCCCATTTTTTCAAACTCACTTTTTGTCGGAAATATGAGAGATATCGAAAAACTGTTTACGTCATTCTATTTGTACTGATCTTGTCTATATTATTTATAATTAATAATGTTAAAAAATTGTCATTTACTGGATGAAAAGTTGAAAATAAGTTTTTATTTGAAATTTTCGACCAGTACGGTTAATTTGACTACTTTCTAAATAGCATCATTTTAAAGCCTGTATATTTTACTTTTATTATCCAAAATTATATTTAAATCGAAGTGGAAATTTTTATAAAAAGTTGAAAAAAAACGAAGGTAGTACACGCGGAACCCGTAGAATATCCGTGTAAGTAGCGTCTCTCATTGTCAATAGCAAACCAGTGCACATTGCGCTTGGCGCGCATCGGAACATATTCTATATAAAGGTAATACTTATTTAAAAAATAAAACTAGATATATACATTTATGTCTTTTATATTCATATATTTATGTATATAATTATTGTGGTTATATATTTATACACAATGTTTTTTTTGTTTTGAAATCATACCTAAAACTTTATTTGCTTTTTATATTTTATATTTTATATTGTTACTGTATATTATTTTATAACGATAGAAATACATAAATAAATAGTCACTATATTTACCATAGTAATATGGAAGTTGAGTTACGAAGTTATTAAGTCACTTTTAATCGTAGTCGCTATCATTGTTAATATAATAGAAACTGTAGTTCTTTCTGTTATAAATATTTTTGATAATATTTCAGCCAGGCGAATAATTCGTGCTAAATATCTTGCAAATGACAGATAATATATAATTGCCGCAGTGTGGGAGCAGCAACCAACAGTCCTTAATCCATTAGGACAACTGCAGCAATACCTCAAAATACTTTTATAATCGGTTCCGCCTGGTGTATACTCATTATATTTTTTTCTATTTACATGTCGGGATTGAACATTCATTGGAATGATATTAGCATTTTCTTTCACAAAATATATCTTTGGTTGACTTTCATTGTTTAACATTTCAGCCAGGTAGGATACGGCTTGGGACAACTGGTAGGATCCTGTGAATAAAATTTTGAGTTCCCGTTCATTTAAGTGAGGAAAGTCTAATAGATAATCCGGCTGAAAAAGTTTCAGTGTTGTTGCTCGCCTGCTCCATCTTTTCTCAATTACTTCATTTGACAAAGTGTTTGGCACGTTGCGTACTTTTTCAGCCGGATTATCTATTAGACTTTCCTCACTTAAATGAACGGGAACTCAAAATTTTATTCACAGGATCCTACCAGTTGTCCCAAGCCGTATCCTACCTGGCTGAAATGTTAAACAATGAAAGTCAACCAAAGATATATTTTGTGAAAGAAAATGCTAATATCATTCCAATGAATGTTCAATCCCGACATGTAAATAGAAAAAAATACAATGAGTATACACCAGGCGGAACCGATTATAAAAGCATTTTGAGGTATTGCTGCAGTTGTCCTAATGGATTAAGGACTGTTGGTTGCTGCTCCCACACTGCGGCAATTATATATTATCTGTCATTTGCAAGATATTTAGCACGAATTATTCGCCTGGCTGAAATATTATCAAAAATATTTATAACAGAAAGAACTACAGTTTCTATTATATTAACAATGATAGCGACTACGATTAAAAGTGACTTAATAACTTCGTAACTCAACTTCCATATTACTATGGTAAATATAGTGACTATTTATTTATGTATTTCTATCGTTATAAAATAATATACAGTAACAATATAAAATATAAAATATAAAAAGCAATTAAAGTTTTAGGTATGATTTCAAAACAAAAAAAACATTGTGTATAAATATATAACCACAATAATTATATACATAAATATATGAATATAAAAGACATAAATGTATATATCTAGTTTTATTTTTTAAATAAGTATTACCTTTATATAGAATATGTTCCAATGCGCGCCAAGCGCAATGTGCACTGGTTTGCTATTGACAATGAGAGACGCTACTTACACGGATATTCTACGGGTTCCGCGTGTACTACCTTCGGTTTTTTCAACTTTTTATAAAAAGTTCCACTTCGATTTAAATATAATTTTGGATAATAAAAGTAAAATATACAGGCTTTAAAATGATGCTATTTAGAAAGTAGTCAAATTAACCGTACTGGTCGAAAATTTCAAATAAAAACTTATTTTCAACTTTTCATCCAGTAAATGACAATTTTTTAACATTATTAATTATAAATAATATAGACAAGATCAGTACAAATAGAATGACGTAAACAGTTTTTCGATATCTCTCATATTTCCGACAAAAAGTGAGTTTGAAAAAAGGGGCCACTTTCACATGTTTTCACTGATATCTCGGCCAAATGATGAGCTACGGATTTGAAATTTGGTATATCAAATTTTCTCGAGAATACCTATAAAATGGCATCAAAATAATTTAAATACCAGGGTGGGGCCAATTCTGTATGGAAACACGCCCATACCCTTTCCAGTCACGTTTTCGGGCGCATGGATCAACCATTTTGAATGGTTAAAAAAAACATTCGATTCCTATTGATAGGGAAATGAGCTGATTAGTTTTTGGCAAAGACAGGTCCAGCAGTTACGGAGATAAAGAGCAAAGAGTGCAGAAAATAGAAATCGAGTTTTTGAGATTACGGAGCATCCGATTTGAATGATCTAAAAAACATTCAATTAGTAATGATTGGGAGAAGTGTTTATTAGTTTTGGCAAAGGCAGGTCCAGCCATTTGGAAGATACGGAGCTAAATGTGTAAAAAATGGCAGTTTTTGAGAGAACTAAGCGTCCGATTTAAATGATTCAAAGAACTTTCTGCTTGTCTTAACAAAATAATTGATTTTGAAAAATAAATATTTTTGTTTCAACTTTTTTTTCAAAAAAAAATTTTTTGTATATCGAAAAGAATTCAAATTTTATTTTTAATTCTGACTATAGTTCTAATATACTTTAAACACATGATTTCAACTTTGC